GGTGAGATATCCTTTCCTCCACAGATATTCTAAACACAAAACTAGTCAAAATATCTAATAATAGAGAACAGTCTGGGTCTATTTCTCTGATAGTTATTTTGACTTGTTAATGTAGCTCTGCCACTGTAGGGCTGCTCCAGCACAAAGGCTGACGTTTGAGCCTCTGTGACACAAAGAAAAAGGGAAGGGTCTGAAAGTTGATAAAAGAATATGCTTATCCCTTCTCTTTGTCCAAGCACACGGTCTCTTTAGAGAGGAGTTAGCTCTTCTGCCACCTTGTGACCGAGAATGAGAATAGTGGGCCCTCAGATCTTTTCCAATCCCCCCCCTCCAGGTGGCAGCATTGCCACATGGCATCTAGGAATTCACAGAAAAAAAAAATGAAATAAAGTTGACAGGGGAAGTTTCTTAAACTATAAGGGAGCAGAGAATCATGTAACCATGTTGAGGAAATAGTAACCAAAACCCATGTGCCTTCCCCCTGGCAGAATCAGGCAACTGCGGCAGGGAAAAAGGAATGCGACCATGCTGCCCTGGGCCAGTAAGGCTTGAGGTACTTATGTTCCCTCTACTTGGCTGGCCTCACTTCTCTGCTCCCTTCCATAGCAAAATTCCTTGAAAAGACTATGTACACACATTCAGCTCCAACTCCCTCTCAGCCTCTCCTACTTCCACCACTCTGCTGAAACTGTTCTTACAGATTTGTCAAATATAGTGGACGGTCTGTTCTCATCATACACACCTCTCAGCATTTGACCTACTGATCATTTCTTCCTTGAAATACTTGCCTTTCTTGGCTTCTATTGCATTCACTCTCTTGGTTTTCTTAGCTCAAATGTCACCTCCTCAGAGAAGTCTTCCCTGTCCACCCTATTTAAAGTGGCCTCTGCCAGTAACCCTTCATCTCATATTCTGTTCTTTGCTTCACAACAGCTATCACAATCTCTAATTATCTTATATATGTATTTGTATATTGTTTATTATTAGCCCTTTGCACTATTTTATTTTTCACCAGGTTTGTTGTCTGCTTTCCATCTTTTCATGTGAACATAGACTTGATCTTGCTCACTGCTAGAACGGTGTCTAGCACATAGTAGGCCCACAATAAATACTTGCTAAATGAAAGGCACTGTGGCTGAATGTTCAGCACTTCTCCTCCTTCCAATTTCAGGCAACATGTTGCCCTTGGTGACAGATATCTTTTCCTTTTTGTTTTCCAATATTTCCCTTAATGCTCTATTTAGCCAGATTTCAACCTGAGTTAAAATGTCAGGCAACAGGGTAACATTTAAATCACGATTTGACTCAGATCTAATGAATTCCCTCATGGAATGTCCCTATTCATCATTATCAATCAGAGTGTGGGCCTCTGGAACCTTCTTTCACATAGCCAAACCTATGTTTACTCCAATGGAGTACAATTACAGTGGATAGAGAGAATACAGAGGCTCTGGGCTTAGGCAGAGGACCTAAATACATCCTCATTTCTGCTTTATGATCCATCTACCTATACTGTCACAAAGTCTACATAGTATTATTGAAATATGCAAGTTTTAAATATCTCCAACAACAATTATCTGTCTAGGAAAACCTTCCCAAACTGCAGGCAGTCTCATCTAGGGTATTTAGCTCTTCTTCACAACCTCTCAGCCCAATAGTCATGGGAAGGTGGTTTACCTATACTCACTCCACTATTCAGGGGTGTGAAAATGTACAAAACTAGACAAGTAGGTCTATGCTGATGTAATTCTATGTGTGTAACTGTGAATGAATACTAGAGATCATTTGGTCAGAATATTTGCAGAGGAAAAAATTGAGATGCGGAGAAATCAAGCAATTTTCTCACGAGGACGTAGTTAATAATAGCCTGTATTAGAACCCAGTTCTCTTAATTCCTAGTGCAGTGCTTTCTACAGTGCAACTCACCAACTTATTCAGTCCCAGCTCCCTGCTCTACTCTGTAAATCACTTTCCTTAATTGAAATCTCTTTGTCTCTGTATGTTGGTGTGTAAATCTATATGCCTGTCTTAGTGAGCATGCTTGTGAATGTCTACGTGTCTACCTGCAAGTATTTATAAAGCATATCACTGGGCGTTTATGCCCTTTCTCCTAGGGAAACCTCTGGGTAATTACTGTTTCTTATGTTGGCAGCAGTGATCAGGGAAGACCTGAGTCAATCATTAACAAGCCGACTTAGTCCTCTCTCCAATCAGCTCTATTCCTGGGTCTTCATGAAACAGGGCAAGATAATTAGGGTGGAACCAGACTCTCCCAGGGTCAAACTTGGTTCTAGGGCAGTGAAAATGCCTAGAGACAAAGCCATAGGGGCAGTGACAGATCAGCAGCATACTGTCTCTGCAAGGAGCATGTGCTCAAGCTGACATGGATACCATCTTGGTCTTCAGCCTAATCATTACATCCTATGATGCCAACAAGAAAGGTAAGTGCTACTCTAGCCTAATCTCCTGGAAAATCCAAAGAGAGACCTAGAAAGTGTTTGGGGTCTCTTCTGGCAAATAGAGATATAGCCAATACTCAGCTGGCAATGCTTTCCAATCATCCTATGCGTCCTCTTGCAGGACTGCAACTTATTCAACCCAGAAAGATAGCTGTCTGTTTCGTGGTGAGAAGCCTTCAGAGAATGCCTTGTTCATGTAACTAACATCAGAGTCCTTTCACATGGTTTTCTCTCCTGGAGGGTGCTGTCACAAATTCATAGCCCCTCATAAGATGTCTTCCTTTTTAAGGTGTTACATCCAAATATGTGGGGATGCTCTTGGGAGGGGAGAGCTAAGAAAAGGGTGGTGTGGAGGTGAAATGGCACCATTTTCTGCTCTTTGTTAACTGTTCATTTAAAACATGATTTTTCAAAGTGTCCTAAACATTTCATCTCTATAATTTGCTCACCAGAGTTAAGGCCAAAGAGTATAATGTGCAGTAGTAGCAAATTTAGCAAATGAAGAAAACTCACACCAAAAAAAAGAAGAAAAAAAGAAAAAGAAAACTCACAACACCTTGTGAGTTATATGGCAAAAAGCATAAATAACTATGACCTGTGGTTCCATAAAATTCAGAAAGATACCTTGGTTCAAGGTTACGCTTAATAAACTTTCAAAAGTTTTAAAATAAGAACAGGAAGGAGAAGAAGTAATAACCAGTGTTTGAAGGAAAGGTTGGTTAGTCTTTCATTAATTAACTTCATTTAACTCTATTTTACCTCCCCACCCCCAAGGATAATAGATTGGTACTCAATTTTCTTTATACTAGTCTAACTTCCTCTTGTATATACTTTTAAGTCTTTGGGAGAAATTTTTATATTACCAATTGCAAGCTTTGAAAGAAGGAACTACATTATTTTGTATCTCCCTCTCCAGTGTCTGAAATTCTAAACAGTAAAGCCTGACCTTTTTTTTTTTTTTTTTTTTTTTTTTAAACTCAGAGATAGCCATTGTCAAGTGGAACAGCTCCCTGGGCTCTTCTCAACGGGTATGAGAAGCACCAGGGATGTGCTAATGTCAGGTATGGAATAAGCTCTCCCTTCCTGAAAAAAAAAAAATCACTTTGCCAGAAAGTTTTTACTTTTAAAAGATGCCTATCTCTCCCATTCCTAGCTCAGATCTCAAATACCCTATTTTAAAGATATGTATTCCCCCCAAAAGCTTTCCGGAAGCCAGTTTTTTAAAATATATTTTAAGGATTTTTTACAGAGAGGAAGGGAGAGGGATAGAGAGTTAGAAACATCGATAAGAGAGAAACATCAACCAGCTGCCTCCTGCACACCCCCTACTGGGGTTGTGCCCACAACCAAGGTACATGCCCTTGACCGGTATCAAACCTGGGACCCTTCAGTCCACAGGCCGACGCTCTATCCACTGAGCCAAACCAGTTAGGCCTGGAAACCAATTTTTGAATTAACTCTTATTAGCTAAGGAATGGCTATATAAATCAAAAAAGGGGGTGAAGAACAAGAAGGAGGCAGTACTCAACCCTCTCTGCATTAGAGAAGACAATCTATAAGCATTTCTCAGGGCTGAACTTACTGCAATTACCTATCTTCATGGGATTCATGGTAGGAAAAAAGGCAGGTTTGTACAGTAAGTACCATAAGCACATAGTGAGGGAAAAATCAACTAAAAAGAGACAAAAATACAGCAGTGGAGTTTAACGAGTCAATACAGTAGTTCAGCCATTCAGATTAAGAATCAGCTTCCTGTCCAGGCAGTGTGGTTCAGTGGTTGTGTGTCAACCCAAGAACTGGGAGGTCACAGTTTGATTCCCCATCAGGGCACATACCTGGACTGGGTGCTCAATTCCCAGTGAGGAGCGTGCAGGGGGCAGCTGATCGATGATTCTCTCATCATTAATGTTTCTATCTCTCCCTCTCTCTTCTGTTCTGAAACCAATAAATATATGCCAGCTTCCTTTGTTCTCTTTGGCTTATCTCTTTGCAGAAGCTCAAGCAGAAGACAACAGGTCCACCTTCGTCCAAATTCTGACTGTGGCTACCCTGCAGTGCCTTGCCTCTGGGAGCAAAGTAAAAGTCAGCCTTGAATATTCAGAGAAAAGGCCAAAGGTCAAGCATACTCTAAAGAACCTGCGAGTTATTGCTGCTCCCCATAGAAACAGCACTGCTTTCCCAAGCTGTCACCTAACCCCCACATCCAACTTTCAGAATGGATCTCTTCTAACAGGCAAAGGTGAGGTTGGAACATGAGGTGAAGGTAGGCATGACTTTTACTTATAACCCTGAATGCAGGTAGAGCTTAGTAGCAGCTAATGCCTCAAGGAAATGGATTATCCTCTCCTTTGGCAAATCTATGTCCTCTCTGAGACTCAGTTTTCTAATCTCTAAGGGCCCTTCTAACCCTGACATGTGGCAATTTTCACATGCTCTCATTTCTGATGGGTCGTCTTTCACAATGGTTATTTGATTTTTGATTTACTCTGAATGCACATAGTAAAATGTTCAAACAACACAGGTTTCCAGTGAAAAGTAAATCTCCCTTGTTCTACTCCCTCAGTCCTCTAGTACTCTATCCCTGAAGGAAACCCTATTAACAACTTACTGAGTTTCCTTCCAGAGATATTCTAAGCATGTATGGATGTATATATTTTAAACACATAAATAGTAGCATATCATATACACTATTCAATACCTTGCTTTTTTCCACTTAAAAATGTATTGTATAGATTGTTCCATATCAATATGTATAAACTAGAGGCCTAGTGAATGAAATTTGTGCATGGGTGGGGTCCCTTGGGGTGGCCTGCGAAGATCAGGCCCTAGCTCGAATCCCCAGCCTCACAGGCCTGTCTGGCACCCTGCCTTGGCCTGGCGCCACCTGCTCACCTGCTCCACCATCCCGCCATGGCCCCGCTCTCATCGGGGCCCATTGTGGCTGGCAGCACCTCCACTGTAGCCCACTGCCAGCACCACTATGCCCGCCATGTTCCGTACCAGCCCCTGTTGGTCAGCGCACATCATAGCGAGTGGTCAAACTCCAGGTCAGACAAACTCCCGCCCGAAGGGACAATTTGCATATTAGGCTTTTATTATATAAGATATGTCTCATTCCTTGTAACTGTTGTACAGTATTACATTTTATGGCTATACTATCACCAGTTTCCTATGGATGGATATTTTGGTTGTTTCCAAACTCCTGCAAATACAAACAATGCTGCAAGCAATAATCTTATACATTCTTCTTTGTGTGCCTACAATTTATCTATAGGATAAATTCCAAGCAGAGTTGTTGTATCAAAGTTTAATAGATATTGCTAAGTTACCCTCCACAGTGGTTGTTCGGTTTTTCACTTCCACACACATTGAGGGTGCCTGTTCCCCCACAGTTGCTGAGCAATGGCTCTTGACCTCTGCCTTAAGTTTCTCTGCTTCTGTCCTTCCTTCTCCCACCCATTCTTTCTGTCAATTAGTTTATGATCTATACATTAGTATTGGCAGTTCCCCCTACATACAGGCAATTCCCTAGAAGCTACTGTTGCACTGCTGGAAAAAATTAAATAAAACTTGACACTTTTAGAGAAACTGGGGGCTCACCAGCAGAATAATGGGGGGAAACTTTTAAAACTACCATCTGTTTAGAGGACTAGAAATTGGGAAATAAGTGGATAGGTTCTTGGGATGTGGCCCAGTTATAGTAAATTATAAATCCTCACATGACATGAATGTTTTCATTCCTTTATTATACTTTCTAAAGTTCACATGGTAACCACTTTTGTGTGAAAAAAAAAAAAATACAAAAAACTCTTAAAAACTTAAAAGCCTCTGACAGTATTTGGGGGATTTCAGTCATTCAGTGTTAAAGCAAATTAATTCAACCAGATTGTTCTCTTCCTAACATGTGACACCCCCACCCTATGAGTCAATGATAAGTGTGATGGGGAACAGTGAACTTAAGTCATTTTGGAGTCTAGAGCACTTTGTACAGGGTGAATCTTTCTTGGATATAATGCTATGCAGTGTTGGACTCAGAGCAATTAAGACACTAGCTTTTAGAGAGTTGGGACAGGGAAAACTGGGAGTTTAAGGGGAGAGATGCCAATGATCAACCTGCCCTAATTTAGCAATTTGCTTTGGGCTAGCCTAGAGTCCAGGGAAGGAGGAAAAGTTAAAGCCAGCGATTTTTGATGGGTGTGCTTCAAGAATTTTTAAGACATGCAATACCTGATTTTTAGTCAGGGGCACTGGCCTGTTTCCCTTAGATTGTTAAACTAAAAAATAGCTGTCCAGTGTGGCTGAATAAAAAATTATACCTATTTATTTTTGTCAGATCAGCAAAAAAAAATTGGGGGGGGGGGGGTTCCCTGGAATTTTGGTAGTTTCTGTGTGCCATGAGATGGAAGAGGTTGAAAATAGCTGGTTTAAGCTAATCCCTGTACTATTTGAGCTGTGCAAACAAAGTAAATGGATATTTGCAGGTTAGTTTGGGGATCTAATCATCAGTCAAGATACATTTCTTGAACAATGACGAATTGCAGACACCAATTTATGAGTGGAATTTTGAAATATTGCCCCATTTGTGAGTATGAAACTGCGTATTCTGAATTCAAACTTACACTGAGTGCCAGGAAGTGACACGCTCCAAGTACAGTAGAAATAAAGTACATGGTCAAATTTATAAGGTCATAGAAGAGATGCCCACTATGCATGACATCAGTCTACACAGGAGAATGTCCCAGAAACAGAAGTCAGTACGTGGAAATGTTCCCAGAGCAAAGTAGGAATCTGAAACTGTAAGGATGAGAATGGACTGCAACACAGTTGGTCATCAGAAGATGTGGGTTGACATGCAATCTAGAAAAATGTAAGATGGCAACTATTACTGTTTATGGAATTTGGCCAAGGAAAAGATTCTCTATTATAAATATTCTGATAATTCTTTCTGATGAAAGAGGACTCCTAGGTCTTTATCACGTCTGATAAGTTTTACACCATCTAGTTCCTATTCTTCAGATTCCATATTAATCAAGAAACTTTCCAATTATGCATTAGGTTTCACAAGAACCTGTAGGTTTAGAAAAGGGTATCTAGAAGAGAAAAACATCATATCTGATCCATTTGACAGACACATTCTCCTATGTAAATATTTTTAATGTCATTTTAGTATATAGATTAGGTTCCTGGGAATTTGACTGGTGTGAACTAATTCCTATAGTCTGTTTACACCATGTGAAACTGTGAGTACAGGAGAAATATTACACAAATGTTTATTCTGATATTAATGATCACCTTTGACAAGTTACTTAATTTCTCCAGTGCTCAGTTTCTATAGGTCAGTGATAGCAAACCTATGACATGCGTGTCAGAGATGACACGCGAACTCATTTTTTTGGTTGATTCTTCTTTGTTAAATGGTATTTAAATATGTAAAATAAATATCAAAAATATAAGTCTTTGTTTTACTATGGTTGCAAATATCAAAAAATTTCTATATGTGACACGGCACCAGAGTTAAGTTAGGGTTTTTCAAAATGTTGACACGCCGAGCTCAAAAGGTTTGCCATCACTGCTATAGGTACAAATGAGGGGTTTGACTACATGGTCTGATTTCTATATATGTACAGCTGAGGTTTAGATCCAAAGCACAAACCCAACAGCCCTTTCAACCTGCTAGTATTATTACAGAATAGGCTCTGAAAGAGACTTCCATTTAAATACAATGCACCTAATGTTCCCCTTTTAAAATAAGTTATTTTTTAAGAAAGCAAAGCATCATCTCCTAAATCATCCATTTCATAAATTTGGATTTTTGTTTCTCTCATTAAAGTGGGGCATTCATGCCCAAATATCCTTAGCCAAAGAAAAGCTCATATTGCAATTCTATCATCACTGGGAATGGAGAGCTGTATTTACAAATGTGCTTCCCCTTAATGCTGTTACCTAGCAGATGAGATCTACTACTAGAGACGAACTGCCAACATGGATGGGCATTAATTCAGAAACTAGGCAGAAATAAAAATACACTGATAGATGAAGCCTATTAAGTAGACTTTGCAACAGTGGCCCCAGAAGGTGGGAAGACATGCTATAGTGAAATACCATTAACCCTATGGTTAGAGGGCACAGTTCTACTTAGAGGATCTCTAGATTTTTCCTCCTCCTCCAATCATAATATCACTCAGGGTGCAGAGTGTTTTCACCTGCTTTCTCATCTTCACATCACCCGCATGAAATAGGTAGATCAAGGATTATCCTTTATAATAAAGAGCTAATGTGCTAATTAGACTGAACAGCAGAACGACCGTCTGGGGCTGCAAAGGGCCGGGCCCCTTGCATGAATTTCGTCCACTGGGCCTCTAGTTTTATTATAACCATCTTCCAGACAAGGAGACCAAAACTCAGAGAACTTAGGTGACTTGTCCAAAGTGAAATTTGCTTATCTTCAGCTCATCAGTCTCATAAAACATATGTTATCACTTCAGAGACCTGACTGGCACTATGCTGAAAATACTTCACATAATGTCCTTGTTTTTTTCTTTTGAAACTGTGGCTCTTTGTCTCTATCTTTGCTAACACTGCCTTCCTGATTAAAATGAAATCAAGGATGAGTCCTTACCCTGTAATTTCATGTACAGTGTCTGGTACTGTGGCCACTGGTCTCTGAAGTAAGGAACTATCATTTTCACATGGACTTAATCAAGACATGGGAGAGTAATTTAGAAACATCAAGTAGGACTTACAGACCTCAATTTAATAAACAATGATAAGAGACCATTCAAAATGGAATAGGAACCACTGTCTGAATTGGATTAGGTCAATTCTGGAGGCAAGTGAAGTTCATTCCAGACTACAGACAGAATTTGTCTGCATCATCTCATCACTTCCACAGCTGGTCTGAGTCACCATCATCACTCATTGGATTTCTGCAATAGCCTCCTAACAGGTGACTCTGCTTCTACCCTTGCCCCTGCTACCGTCTCTTCCAGTGATCCTTTAAAAATAAAACCATCATGTCATTCCTCTGCTCAAAACCTTGTAATGGATCCCCATTTCTTTTTTAAAAATGTTTCTATTGACCTGAGGGAGAGAGGCAGGGAGAAGGAGAGAGAAAGAGAGAAACAGCACTCAACCAGGGATCAAACCCAGGTATGTGCCCTGACCAGGAATCAAACCCGGTGACCTTTCAGTGCACAGGATGGGACAACGCTCAACCACCTGAGCCACACCGGGCAGGACTGGATCCCCATTTCAATCAGAATAAAAACCAAAGTCCTTAAACTAGCCTACAAGGCACTCAGTGATATGGGCCCATTTCCTTCAGTGGTTCTCAACCTTGGCTGCACATTAGAATCACCTGAGAATCTTTTTAAAATCCTGATTTCTGGGCCTCATCCTCCGGAAATTGTTTCTTTGTTACTAATGTTGTGGCCCCACCCGATAACAAAGATACACAATTTCCAGAGGATGAGGCCCAGAAATCAGGATTTTAAAAAGATTCTCAGGTGATTCTAATGTGCAGCCAAGGTTGAGAACCACTGCTTTAGATCCTTATCTCCTACTCCTGCCCCCTTGGTCACTCTACTCCAATCTCACTGGCCTCCTTGCTTGTCCTCTAAAACTCTAACATGCCAGACATCTCTGCCTATACTCTAGCTCTCGCCTCTGCCTAAGTCACTACAACAGGTCCTTGAATAACATCATTTTGTTATAACATTGATGGGGAAAAAATTGATTTCCACTAGGGCAGTGATGGCGAGCCTATGACACGCGAACTCATTTTTTTGGTTGATTTTTCTTTTTTAAATGGCATTTAAATATATAAAATAAATATCAAAAATATGTCTTTGTTTTACTACACTTGCAAATATCAAAAAAACTCTATATGTGACACGGCACCAGAGTTAAGTTAGGGTTTTTCAAAATGCTGACATGCCGAGCTCAAAAGGTTCACCATCACTGCACTAGGGCCACTGTCTGTGTGGAGTTTGCATGTTCTCTCCAGTCTGCAAGGGTTTCCCTCTGTACACTGCTTTTCTCTCACACCCCAAAGACACATTACGTGACTTGGTGTATCTGCATTGCTCTAGTCTCCATGTGGGTGTATGTGAGGGTGCCCTGAAGTGGAAGGGCTCCCTGTCCAGGGTTTTCCCCCGCTGAGTAGCTGGGATAGGCTCTGGACACCCTCAACCCTGAACTGGCATAAGCAGTTTAGGAAAGAATTATCTTGCTTTTTTAAAATTAATATTTATTAATATATGTATAGTTCACATTTATTTCAAAGTTTAATATTATAAGTGTTTGGGGTCTTTAGAAATTTGGTGACTTTTTTTTTTATCAGAAATATGCTGTAGGAACCCAATTCTTATTTATATCAGTTAGTCTATGGGACAACTGGCTTTGTTATATGTCATTTCGCCTTAAAGTCACAGTTTCCAAACCTAGCGACAACATTAGTGAGGACTTACTATACCTTCCAGGTATCTGCATGGCTAGTCCCCTCACCTCCTTCAAGTCTTGGCTCAATCCTCACCTTCTCAATGAAACCAGCCTACACTGCATGTTGCCAAACCACTGCCCACCTGCACTGCATCCCTAGACTGCTCCCTTACTTTCCTCTACTTTTTAAAATATTATTTTTATTTTTTTATTGATTTAAGATAGGAAGGGAGAGGAAGAGGGAGGGTGAGATAGAAACATCAATGATGAGAGCGAATCATTGATCGGCTGTCTCCTGCATGCCCCACACTGGGATGGAGCCTGAAACCTGGGCCTGTGCCCTGACCGTGAACCAAACAGTGACCTCCTGGTTCATAGGTCAATCAATGCTCAGCCACTGAGCCATGCCAGCTGGGCACCTTCCTCTACTATAATTATTTTTTCTTTGTAGCACATACCATAAAATTTACTCTATTTATTGTGGTCTGCTTCCCCCTCCTCCCCTCAACCCTTTCTCTCCTTTACTCCTTCCCTGGCTAGAACGCATCCAACTGATATATCCAAAGTAATGAAGTAGTCTCTGGCACGTAATAGATACAGTATCCATTTTTAATTATTTGCAGAATGAATGAAATTGAGGAGTGCATGTAGCTGGGTGGTCTTTCCTTCTTCCAACTCCTTTGGCTTTCCCTGATCCCCTCTCAGAGCAGTTGACTTACACTCCACCAGACAAACTTGCAGCAGTCATTAAGGCAAATGATAACATTTCATGCTCCTCCGTGGACTTTGGAGCCATCTTTTTAAAAGATGGAAACTTTGAACAGTGTTACGCCCTCCATCCTTATTATTATTATGGCCTTAAGAATGATAGGCAAACAAGATATGGTCTTCTCCTCCGCTTTGATCCTACATTAGTCAAAGGCCTCCTGGGGATTTTAATCCATATCTCTTATTAGTATCTCTATTCTCATTTACTCTTGGCATCATTTGGAGCTTACACCCTACACCTATGGACAGGTTAATGGGGCCACAGTGAGAAGTTTAGTATCATCTTGGGCAGAGCTAGGGTCTTTTGTCAGATAAAATCAAATGCAGGATAAAGTTTTCTCAGTTGTCCTTTCATTCTTTCTTTTTTTATAGCTTTTTTACCAGGGATCTTCCAATGTAAGGTCTACCCAGCAATGAGGACTTCATTAGAGGCTTTTTCCACCACTACCACCTCCATAACTCCAGGGAATAACGAAGGAGAGAAAACTACAAGTATTGATGAGTTTTCTACCCCTTTGAAACAACAAGGTACAGAATAAGTAATGGTGAGACAAGAACAGAAAGAAAAACATTTTTAACCCCAACATTAGCCTGGGTCTCCTAGGATTTTCCTGGAGGTTGAGAAGTTACACAGAGTTTCTATTAGAAAAACCACTCCATTTCCTATGGAAAAAATCAGTTTCTCTATAAAGAAGGTCCCAGAAATGTTTGTAGTTTAATACTTGATAATAATAAATGACTGTTACTGCTTTATGTATTTACTATTCTACACTTTTTATCATTGGTTTAGAGTGTACTCTTTCTATTTATAAGAAAAGTTTGCTGTAAAACAGTATGTTGTGTTAAGCCAGCAGCAGCCTCATACATCCTGTGTTTACTGTCTCTTGATTATACCCTTTTCTCTTATGCTTGATTTAATCTCAGGTTGTTTTATAAATTTTGTGTAGCTTAAATGTACAGTGTTGTATCAAGTCTACAGTAGTGTACAGTAATGTCCTAGATCTTCACATTCACTCACCCACTCACTCACCCAGAGCAACTTCCAGATGTTCAAGCTCCATTCATGGTAAGTGCCCTGTATAGATAAACCATTTTTTATCTTTTACACTGTATTTTTACTGTACCTTTTCTATACACAAATACCAATGTGCTACAATTGCCTACAGTATTCAATACAGTAACATGCTGTACAGGAGCAATACACTATACCATATAGCCTAGGTATGTAGTAGGCTATACCATCTAGGTAGTGTAAGTGCACTCTCTCATTTTTGCTCAGTGATGGAATTGCCTAATGATGCATTTCTTAGAATGTATCCAGGTTGTTAAGGGGCATATGACTGTATTAATAGTGCTTTACCTCAACACCAATGAGCTAATCTTGCATCCAGATTTGGGGACAGAATGAAATGTATTTATGTGGTAGGTAATACCAGCCACTGCATGTATAGACAGGCGACATTTACACACTAAGCAATTATTATAGTGATGGCAACAACCAAGTGCATGTTTCATCTGCACAGTTTTTGGAAATGACCTTCCCTAAATTGGCCAGAACTCAAATTCTGTAAGATTCTGGCTTGGGTTACATCCTAGTTCCTGCCGGGAGAAAAATAAAATATGAGACTAGTAATAACAAGATGCATATAAGCCATTTGTCCCCAAATTTGACTTATGACCCAGGAGCAATGCCAACTCACCTTTGTTCCTCCTATGCCCCACTAAAGCCACGGGGAGCAAAGGAGGGTGATTTTCTAGGTAGAGACCCTGAGAGGGCTGCTGGTGAAAGAAGAGTTTAGAACTCCTTGGGTACTCCCACCCCTTTTCCTCTCTTGAGAGCAGTGCAAGAATGGGTCCTACTTGATCATGGAAAAATCCCAAATCCCAGGGAAGGTGACTCTCTGAGATTAGAGCAGAGCCCATGATGCCCACCCCACTCCTGACTCTAAGTCTGAACTGGAAAGTGGGCCTCCGCCTCTGAATCTAGCTGGACCCCTCTTAGTCATGTGAGCCAAGAGTCCTTCAAGTCAAAGGGTTGATCTCTTCCCTCTCTCAAATTCTCTTTCTCCCTCTTCTACTCCTCTCTCTCCTTTGACACAGATGAAAATCTAGAGAAGAGGCAGAAATGGAGCATTGTGGTCAAATTTCTGATTGCTGGCACTCTGTTGTTCAGTGGAATCGCTATTACAGTGTTTGTCATTTTTGAAGTTCCATGTCCTGTAAGTTTGCTGATGTATTGGGTCCTTGGGCTTGATCTATAAAAATCTCCTTTTCCAGAGGCAGGTTGGCATAAGAAAAACATACTGTAGACTTTGGAGTTTGGGCAGACCTACCACTCACACTCACTGAGTGGCTTCGAGAAAGTTGCTTGGCTTGTCCAACATCAGTAGTCTCATCTTTAAAATGGGACTAATGATACTTGCCCCTTCGGTGGTTATGAAGGTTAATTGAAATCCTGTGTGACAGGTGCCTGGCACATAGTAGGTCCTTGCTAAACGTGAGTCTCTTTCCTTTGCTACTTGTACATTCTCTAGAGAGGATAGAGCCAATAGGACCGAATAGCTTCTTTAGAAGAGATAATTTTCTTTAAATGGCCCAACATGCGGTTTGGAAGATAATCAAATGCATACCAGCCACCTAAAGTTAATACCAGTCATTTTTCTCCCCTCAGTGTCAATGCCTAAGAACCAGAGAACTATGCCAATGCCGGCGATTGTGGGGAAGGCAAAGGAAGGAAGGCCAACAACCTGAGGCAGCTGAACGCCAGCCTCACTCTCAGCCAGAGAAGGAAAGTGTCCTCTGTATGGTTTGTGCATTTGCTTGGAGAAAATGGGGCCAACATATAAGTGCTGGGAGACAGGAAGCTGCTTGTTACGAAGCAAATGTGGTTAATTGTTTTATGTGTCAGGAAATAGGTAGGTATTTGTATGCTATTTTCTTACCATTAGCCCAGCCATAACACGGCAGGGTACATACTGAAAATGCAGATTCCTGGGCCCCAGATATAATGACTCAGCAGAATGAATCAGGAATTTTTAACATGCTCCCTATGTAGAGGTGAATTTACTGTAAAATTAATGATGCTTAAGCTTCAGGCACCATGGGACCTTATATCCAATTTTGTATTTTAAAAAGTAAATCATTTTTCTTTTTTAAAATGTTTTATTGATTTCATTTTTTGTTGTTATTAATCCTCATCTGAGGAAATTTTTTCCACTGATTTTTAGAGAGAGTGGAAGGAAGGGGGAGAGACAGAAAGAGAGAAACATTGATGTGAGAGAGACACATCAATTGGTTGCTTTCCACATGCGCCCTGACCAGAGCAGGAGATGGAGCCTACAACCGAGGTACGTGCCCTTGACTGGAGTCGAACTCCAGACCCTTCAGTCTGAGGGCTGGCGTTCTATCCACTAAGCCAAACCATCTAGGGCTTTATTAATTTCAGAGAGAGGAAGAGAAAAATAGAAATATCAATAATTAGAGAGAATCATCTATCAGGATGCCCCTTACTGGGATGGATCCCGCAACCCATGCATGTGCCCTGACTGGGAATCAAACTGTGACCTCCTGGCTCATGGGTTAAAGCTCAGTCACTGAGCCACTCCTGCTAGGCTGTTTTGTTTTCCTTAAGAAAAGCTCCCGCAAACCTATAAGAGCTTCAGAGACCACAACTATGTGTCCATCCCTGCCCTTAGGTAACTCTTACATACACCAAAGTTTAGGAACCACTACACTTGAACATAGTTTGATTTTTGGCAAAACAGCTTTTTTCCTCCATACCCTTGGGTTTCCTGACAAGATTATAAATTCATATTGCTCTTTAGTGTCTAAAACAGACACTACCCGACTGGTTCAGCTCAGCTCCTTTAAATCCTATTTCCCCATGAGGAGTGGATTCAGCCTTTGCATATAAGAAATTGATGGGCGCCTTCTCTACAACATCTACAAGACAAAGAGACTAGGTCTCCAATACTTTCTAAATTAAAAATGGTACCCACTTTTGTAGAATTACAACATTAAGAATGAGTCTCAAAGACTAAGTGTCCAGGATGGTACACATGCTGCTACCCTTTAATTCTGTGTTGGCTGCACATATCAATAATCAACCATAGTGAAACTAGAAGATGAGTAAGTTCTGGAAATCTAATGCATAGAATAGTGAGTACAATCAACAATACTGCATTATGTTCTTCAAAATTGCTAAGAGACTAGATCTTAAATGTTCTCACCACAAAAAAGAAAAGATAACTATGTTCCGTGATGGAGGTGTTAGCTACAGTAG